ACAAGTGACCATCCACACAGAAAAATATGTGAATCTATCCAAATTCGCAAACACAGACCGATTCTCAACCGAAACATATCTTCTTGGCACATTTTGTAGCTGTTATCACTCGCCGCAGACATCATGCCTACGCACATTCATAAGTCAGTAATTCATACCTAAGTATTTTGTGCCAAATGTGTATCATGGAAAGCAAAGTGTTACCTTTATAGTGATAGGATGAGGTTAAGTGTGTTTTTTCATGTTTCCATGCAGATATGTGCGAATGTAACGATTACTTGAGTGTACCCATTACCAAGTGTGAAAGTGCCTGTCATTCTTATCACGCGAAAAGTAGAAAGATAGAAACTGACGATGATTCGACTTGTACCTAATTTGTATTTTGTCTTCCAATATTCTTATATTTGGCATTGATGTGATCATGGCCCGTGGCCGAAAATTCATCTAAAACAAAAATACATGAATGAAAAGTATAATTTTGTAAGGAGGTCATCCAAAAACAATTAAACGATTAAAATAAATGCCTTACATTCAGCAAGCACTTAACGAATTAAAAAAAAATATTTTCCTGCATTAAGCACACAAGGCATGTTATTCTCATAAGCTATCGAATGTGTGTGTGTGTTTTTTTAAGCTGTTTTTTTAAGCTTTTAAGCTGTAACTTCAGTTACTTCACTTTAGAACATATTGCCCAGAATGCGTCACTGATCATGAGCTGGTATATCATATCATATGTAGCAAATACATAAATGAGAATAGTGTGTCATGAATTTTTGTGCATGCTTCTGGATCATCTGTAATTACATCAAAGGCTCGGCTCAAGAGTGTCCTGCCGACCAGCTTATGCCCAACCCTTTCTGTCCGCAGAACGTCGCCTGCGACTCCCGCACGCCGTTTGCCCCGGCCGTCCGTACTGGTCTTCGCGCTGCGAGCCGCGCTGGAGTTCGCGGCGGCGTCGTGGAGCTCCCATCGGGACGGCGTGTGATGCCCGCGTCGAGCTTATAAGCCGTGAGCTTCGATTGGCGGCTCACGCGGTCACCAGCTGTATGTACAGCCTCGGCCCCGACGACCCCGCTAATGGCCGAGACCGGCATACCCCCGGCATGGGTCCGCTGTCCGGCGCAGCGCTGGCCGCCCGCATGCTACTTTTGGCTGTATCGCTGCCCAGCGGGAGCGCGCTCCACGCTGCGGAAGAGGTACACGTTGCGACCCGACTGAGGACCGCAACCGGATGGTGACACGTCGGCCTCTGCGCCCTGGCCGGGGCAGGCGTGACCGACGTCACAGTGGAGGAACGCCCAAACAAGACCAGCCCACCGTCGGAGCAGCATGGAAATATCATGTTCTGCCTGGACGTCGGACCCGGCGGCCGCAGTGCACCTGCACACGTGCGGAGAGGGGCGCTGGAGGCTACTCTGGAGCTTCTGCCATTCCGCGGCGCGACTGCTGGCAAAACGGCGGCGATTGAGGCGGTTGGGAACAGCTGCAGCAATGGTGATGGCGGTGATGGCGACATGGCGGTTTGGGACTTCATCTCAGCGCGGCCGCCGCCCAGGCGCCGCTGCGCCCGGCTGCTCAGCCACCTACCGGATGGCGGGTGGCCCTTACGGCCCTCACGCCCGTTCGGTCTGCGGCCACGTTGTGGGGTGGCGGTCGCGGGGTTAGCGGCGTTGGACTTCGTCCTTTATCCAGACTGCACCGTACCATCTGAACGGATGGATCTGCCAAGAAAGATGACATCCAAGGCGGCTATGAGGCGATCACAAAGCTTCACCAAGAGCTTCTCCTTCATGGAGCCGGCCGGCCGTTAAGTCGCAACACCGGCTGCCGAGTGCCAACAGCTGCGTGCGCTGGCGCCGACGCGTTGTGGGCCGCGCTGCTGACGCCCAAGCTGCGATATCAACCATCTATGAATAAGTGGCAGCGGTGGCGGCTTGTCAGTTGTTAACGTGCCTTAACAGACGTTGCGAATAGCCCGCGTTGGAATCGCATGGTTGGCAACACAACGCAAGTAAAAATGGGCTTCCTTGATGAACCTACTTTTTAAGCATTGTAGCCTTTGTAATTTTGGATGTTTTGCTGTAGATATTATTTTCTACATATATACTATATAGGCACTCACGTGCTTTAAATCGCGCAATGCAATTGAACCATGGTAAAGACAATGATAAATGAACTGAGAGCTGACATGCCCCATGCTTTGTGTGTGTATGTGTGTGTGTTTTTTTGTTGTTTTTTTTGGCGAGTCGATAAAAGTGGTTTTGGACACTGGATGAGTTTTTAGGGGTGTGGTGAGGGGGGATGTAATTCCACAGACCTGTCAGATTCACTAATGCAGTAGGTCTGTGCGGTGTTTAGTTATCGGAGCATTCTTTGAAAGTCGTGAATAGGGCCACCGAGTACCTAAAGCCGTGATATTCCCCCACAAAAACTTCTTTTAAATAACCGGGGATAGGTACATGAGCAGAGTAAATGCTATTACGAACGCCTATCACAATGCTGAGCGAATAGGAAAATCCATAGATGGAGAATTGTGCCGCGTTACGGGTGCTCGGGCGCAGCCAATCCAGCGTTACCCCAGCGGTGACCTTGACCCGCATCGTCTGTCTCGGCTCCAAAGCCAAACCGGCGTGGAATTGGGAGCGCTCGAGCACTCATGGTCCAGCGCAATTCTCCACCTGAATCCATTCCTGATACACATTTGCTTGCTCATAGTCATGTAACCCCGGTAAATTCATCTAACTTTCATATTGGTCGCTCCATAGACAGATGGCCACAGATATCAACTTAAAAGGCCATTGTTGCATTCATTTAGTGGAGATCATTAAAGAGCCGTGATAGGCCACAAGTCGCGTGACATCATACGTGTAACAACCAATAACGTCGGCCTGCAAAACCCAATGGAAGCGGCTAGCAGCGTGCAATAAAACAGGGCGCTGCTTTCTAAATGTCTGTCGTGCGCCATAAATGAATATATCTTTTGTAGTGTGGCAACTCAGTATCTTTTTTTAACTATTGTACTAGTATTTACTAATTTCATAATTTTGTAATTGTGCTTACGCTTTATGTTGATGTTAGTGATAAATTCTTAGATAAAGTAAATCGATGTGATATTTAATAGAAAAATAGCAAACTAACGCGCCATTCATTCGAAAGCTGGTAAACCTACTAAAAAGAACTACTAAAATTCCTGAGGAACCAAAGGATTATATTGGTATCAAATAGATGCCTGCTATTCCGTCGTGAAAACGGCCATTAGGTACTGAACGGCTCTGGGAAAGAATTGGAGCATTGGACTCTTAGTGGTGAGGGCCCAGATAAAGTCGTTCTGGCGTTCGATATATGGGTCTCCTGACGGATATGGTCTCTGGTTGGTGGGAGCAGACGCAGCCAATTGAAGTCACTTGAGTGGGGCAGGACGTGTCTGGCCTTGATGAGAACGTTTACCCACGCACCGACAGGGGTCCGCGCCAACTTGAACCGACGGGGGGGGGGGGGGGCGATTGACCACTCCCCTGAGATCTCGAAAACAAAGCAAGATAGCGACAAGCGGTAAACGGTATGGGGTACGCACGGACGCGAGGTCTACAATATTTAAAAGGTCATTTTCAGGTCAGGTCAAAGATGACGTTACAGGGGTCAAAAAAGTCAAAATGGCGGCGCTAGAAATGAAGAGTTTTCTCGAATAACTTTTGAAGTAGCCAAGCTAGGAACTAATTAATGGCACCATCATGATCCTCTCGTCAATCCGCATCTAATCATATATGTATATGTTGTCCTCGGAAGGTCAAGGTCAAAGGTTGATCTCAGGTCACGTGATCTCAGGTCACATTCTCAGGTCACATTCTTACTTAATTCTGGGCGCTTAACAATCCCAACACTCTGACTATTTAATTACGAGGCGGGATGGGCGTGTCTCGGTGGGGTGGCGTCGGCAACGGGGCTCTCTGGGCAACCTCTAATGCGCGACGCGTTCGGCTTGGTGGCGGCGACCGGCGATTTAGTTTGTTTGAATCCATTTTAAGTTCTTGTATATGTGTGTATGTGTTTATTTGCTTGTATGTTTTTTTAGCAGAGCTGGTGCCTCGAATTAAGCACTTTCGAGTGCTTTTGCACCAGTTCTTACTTATCTTGATTTTGTGTATTCTTTTGTTTCAAACGTGATGATGATGATGATGATGATGATCTCAAGGTCATCATGTATGTCATTCGATGCGCCTTGACGAGCTGAACACAATGAGACCATCCTCGCGGCTGTATGTTGTTGCTGTAAGGAGTTATCAGCAAAAAAAAACTTCATGACCCTTGATGACGTCACATGACCTTACAGCTGCCCAAGAGCAAAAAAGGCCGCAAGGTAGTCAAGGTTGATCGTATATGAAGTCGTTCATGATATATTGGGCCCTTCTGACGTGTTTTAGTGGAAAAAACAGGGGGTTGATTTGATCATCCATGCTTATACTAACATCTTTGTAAAGCAGTGGTGGTATATGCTATTTGCGCGCAACATCTGCCGCGAACGCCGCACTTCCAAAATGAAGTCGCTAGGAACAGCGGAGATCTCAAAAATGTAAACAAAAGTAAAAGTCTAATATCTTGAAAACCGGTGAATATTTTTCGGTGAAATTTGGTAGATATTCGTTTTTGCTCTTTCTGAACCGAGCGACATCACTTTCATGCCAATTCATTAACTTTTTGAAGGTGGGAGGGTCCCTTTAAACAAATTAGCACCTATGCTGATGTTTCTCATCCTTAGCAACAATAAGAGGAACAATGCTTGGATAAGTTCGTTACACCCGTAAAAGTGGATGTCAACAACTGTTCCAGTGTGCCTGGTCCTCGCTGAGACCGAAAGTCAGAGGCACTGCTGACGCGAGGTGGCATCCGTCAGCCTACCGTTTTACCTCCAAACGCGACATGAATAAGCATACACATTAACGTATCTTTCGCAAGAAGACGGCGACTATAAAAGCTCGCGTGCGGTGGTTTCACTTGTTCATTTTGGCGAGTGTCTCCCAGCAGTCCGGTAAGGAGCGACCCGAGCCGACACATCTCCGCTGCCCAGAGGTGGCGCCAGCCTCGCCCGGCCGCACCTCTCGGTCCAGGCCGGCCCATCTACCGGACTGGGTGCCCGCCACGGCACCGGGGTGCACGGGTCGTGGCCGAGCTGCGGCGCCGGTCCCGTCGGCCGGCCGCAGAGCTGGCTCTGTGTTTCCGAGTGCAGATGCCGAGTGGGCGGCAATGTGTGCCAGTGTTGTGGCTCGAGCAGTGAGGTCGGACCGAGTGGCCAGCGGCGGTCCAGTGATGCGGTCCGGTGGACCGGAGCGGCGGCGGCTGCCCAGCGAGGGCCGCGAGGACCCGCCGATCTGTGACGCATGCCTCGTTGGCCGCCATCTGCCACTACTCATGTCCTCACTCCGGGTGCATTTTGGTAGAAAATATTCAACAGTTTATTTAAACCGCGTTGAAAGTTTGGACAAAGTTGGTCAAGAAAAAATCGAAAAAGCTAAGCGTGGGACCTTCTCACTTAAACATTCATTTAATATTGCCGTAACTTTTGTCAAAGGCATAAGCAGGCTGCATCGATTCTAGCATAACTTTAGCTGTCATCCAGACCTAACTATTTTTCAGTCTAATAAACCGATCAAGGTGAACTTATCAGCTCAATATACAGAGCTTGCCATCTACCTCGTTCCGCTATTATTTTGAACATCATTTGCTGCTGACCGAGGAAAAGCCTCCTGTCAGTAGTGAGATCACTGCATGGAGCCATATTCAAGCCATCAAGAGCTGCCATCAGTAAAGTTAAAAGATGGTTTATGGTGCAACAGCAAGCACTGTGGGGCTTTCAAAGGGCTTAAGAAACTTTACCTGAGAAAAATCGTCTTCGCGGAAATTTAAAATCACGCTTTGGAGTTTGAGCTTAAGCTTCCAATTTCCAAATCATACCACGCATGTGAGCCTTGTGGTATGTTTCATATAGGTATTATTGCGTACCAATATAGACCATTTTGTATGTTTCTCCTAATATATTTGGTAGATGAAGAGTAACTTCAATTTTTAGCATTACCTCGTCCATGCTAGAAATATTTTCTACGGTCACAAAGGTGGAGTTTATCGGAAGGTGTGATCATACAATAAATGTTCGAAGAACAATATGGATTTACGTGGCATTAATTGTAAAAAAATGATATGCTTTTGTCACCCGTTACTTATTCGGCATTCATCTTATTTCAGTTTTCATCATGAAGCTGTCCGTGTGTCTGCTGCTGGCCGTGGTGGCCGCCGTCTCTGCCGACGAGGGCTTCTACCAGCCCCAGGCCGTGGCCCAGTCGGCACCCAGTGCCTACAATAACTACTACGACCAGCAGTACCAACCCCCTCAGAATCAAGGGTAGGTGGATATAATATGACCGAACAGCAAGTGGTATCCGGAGGGTGTTTTACGCCTAATAATCACGTTTATTTACTCCTATGCGAGTCGGACCAAATGAAACAACGCCAATGCCTGATGATGTTTTCGTTTCTATTTTATATTTTTGAAAACCATGTTCCTTCTAAATTTCAGCTGATTATTTCATATTAAAGGACGGTGTTCATTTCTATCAACCTCAACGGCTACCTTGTTGTGTATTTGATTTGGATGGTATATTTTAGGCTTTCCACCTCTTCCAGATGGCTCGATCGTCTGTTCGGGTCCAACCGGCGCCAGGGCCTTGGCGGCCTTCTCGGGGGAGGACTCGGCATTTTCGGTCTGATCGGTGAGTCAGCCATTTCCGATTACCGCTACGGGCAGTTGTGAGTACTTTCCATTCATTCTTTTACTTTTTTAATAAAACAAGATATAAAACCAGCCATTTATTTGTGTGCTTATTAGTGATCCGTCATATACCTATCAAACAAATAAGGAAGGCGATCTATCAAACAGGTAACGCAAGCACCTTTGCCAGCATTGCTGGGGAGTTTTATCAGCAAATCAGGAGTATCGGGAGTGGAACAAATACTGAACCCCCCTTTGTTGTGACGACAGGTCCCATCGCCCTGGTCGTCATTGCCATCGTTGGTCTGGTCGGCACAGCCTATGTTCTCTCGGAGCTCGATAGCTCCGGCCGTGGCCTGGACTCGGACCAGTGGGAGGTGGACCACTCGGTCTGGATGAACCAGCTCCAGAGGGACTTTGAGGACTCGTGGTCGGTGTAATTGTTCCTGTTATGGATTGCGAGAACGCGATTCGCTGTAAATTTTCATGTATATATCTGTTACTACTGAGAACGTTTTCATGCATGCTCATTTTTAGAGCGAGTAAAATCGGCTGTCTCCACAGCTGCTGCAACAATTGTGATGCCAATTCTTTTTGTGCTTTTGTCTTTTATGCTTCGCTTTATTGCGCTTACGAGCTACTGTTCTATGCAATTCTATCCATCCTCCAAGGGCAGCTAATTTCTATCGGCTACATCATTTCATCATTGTGGACACATATGCCACAACGTCAACTCATTTAAGGCCTGGCGCTCTACGGAGAGAAAAGTGTAGGCCCGACATAGTTAAAGACAACATGCAAATTGTATTCCTTTTCTGGCACATAAAAGAGTTTTTAATCCTGATTTAGCTGCCCCCTCCCCCCCATCCATTGTTTTGTTCTCGAGCCTTATATATGCCCTTGGAGTGACTTGACTTGGACCATTGTGCCTGCTTCTTACAACTTGCACGCTTTCCTGCTATTCTGGTTTGCCCGATGGTTGTTATTTGCCTATACAAATTTGCTGTTAAGGACAGTTCTGCCTCTTTTATTTCATTTGAGAACAGTTTCTAACAAAGTTACATGAAATTGTTGCGATGAGAAATAATAACAGAGTGTTGAAATGTGATGTTACGGTTTCCCGTGGTTATGTCGTTTCTCATATTTGTTTTGGAAACTGACATATTTTGTTCTGTTATTGTTTTGTTTTCAATATCGATTGATGTGAGAATGTCTCAGAAATACATTTTTGACTCAAGCATCAATTGGTATTCATGGGTAGCAGCTTTTACAGTGGTGAATAATTACCACAAAACTTAAATTTCATGCATCCGCACATGAAAGATAAAGAAGAATTTCACAAGATAAGCACCTTACGTGTAAATCGGGTGATTAGGCCGTTTTTTAATAAGATACGTGCATTTCCCTGACTTGACGACACGCTTTTACAATACTGTATCCCTCGTTTGAATAGGTGTGTTCCATTACGCGGTTGACTGTGGGAGAGAGCTCTTCAGGTTCAGAAACCGCTCCTGTCAGATCGCTCCAAAATACCATTCCGTGTACCCAAAACTTGAGCGGTGTTTGATAGGTCACTGATGCCGTTACAGATCTGGTCAATGTAGAATGTATACCATGTGTAAACCATGTGGCATTGGTGGTTAGACGCGTCACTTGTGCAATGCTGACCTTGCATGACGTCATTTATGACGTCATTAGGGTCATATTAGTTTCGTCAATAACTCTTGATCAAATTGAGCTAGCGAGTCGGGAAAGCCACTAATGGACTCAGGAAGACCTGCCGAATCGAATGATAAGCGACATGACCTCCTTCAACCAATTTCGTGACCTGAGGGCGCTGACCTGACCGTGACCTGAGGTCAACACCCGAAGTTGATCTCACCCAAACAAAAAGTATATCATTCGACGCGCCTGAGCGAGGCAAGCACGTTGCTGCCAACATCACGGCTCTGCGGCCGTTTTTATGCGAAGTTATTCACCAAAAACGGAACCGTATCTTGGGGCACTTGACCTGACCTCAGAGGTCACCGGTTGACCTAGGACCTTAAAATCGAGTACCAATCTCTGCGTCTCGTAACGGCACACACGCTCGTTTTTTTCCGCCACACGCTAGCTCCACTAGGGGCGAAACGGAGAGGGAGTCGTTTGCCCCCCCCCCCCTCGGCCGACGCGTATGTAGAAAAGCAATAGGTCCGGCGAGGGTTAAGTAAAAGATGTCAATAAAAAGGAGTATATCAGATACAGATTGAGCTCAGGACTCATCTGGTTCTATTTGGTACTCAGGTGCTCAGGAACATTATGTTTCTCATAGTCATCCGCGTCAAATAACATTTATTTTTTATTTGGGGAAGGTAAAATGGGTTGTTGGCCTAAGGTCAAGGTCAAGTCAAACCCATTATAGGTGAGCAAGCTAGTCGACGGAGTTCATTTTTAACCCGCGCATGACTGGGGGGGGGGGGATCTCCAGAGCCCCCTCCCGTTTTTCGGCAATATCTTCTAAACCGTTTCACGGATCACCACGAATCTTGCAGTACCTTCAGCGGCATCAATTTGACATCTTGTGTTTAAATTTCAACTTTCTAGCTACTATAGTTTGGCCGGAAATGACGCCAGAGTGACGTCATGTCGGCTGATTGTAATGCAAAATATTGAATTACGGCAAACGCTCTCAAGAGCTTAGTTTTAAAGCTATATCCATTTTTTTGCAGCATTGGACTACAAATACACGTAGCCATCAAACTGTCATCTCAAATTTTCTAAATTTTGAAAATTTTGAAAAATCTGTTTTTACAATTACAAAAAAAAATCAAAAAGTTTTTAATTTTTCGCAAAAAAACCCGAATATATGTGATAGAACACACACTGATGAAATACTCTAGCAAGTTTTAGCCCAATACCTTCAAAAATAGCTAAGTTATTTGCGTTATTGTCAAAATTTTACAACCAGTATAGCGCCTTTTGGGGCGACTAACGGAGCGAGCGAGGGGGTGAGTCTTGCACGTGCGAAATTTCGAGGGGGTACCTCCAACTGACTTGTGCACGGCACCCTACTGACCGGTTTCTAGCGATGTGCCAAATTTGAGCACAATCGGCCCAGCCGTTCTCGAGATCTGGGAGCGGCACCCTGCACGTGCGCACGTGCAAAATGGGTCCCAACTGACTTGTGCACGGCACCCTACTAACTGGTCCCTAACCGTGTACCAAATTTGAGCGCCATCGGTCCAGCCGTTCTCGAGATCTGGAAACGACCCCTGCACGTGCGCACGTGCAGCAGCACCCCAACTCTGGCACATGGATATGCAGTGCCTAGTGGGTGCCTACCTACATGCCAACTTTCAGCGCAATCGGCCAAGTAGTTACCGAGATATTGCAACAATTACAAAACTGACACCTCTTCGTTTTGCACGTGGCACGTGCATAAGGGGTCACCTATATGCATCGGGAATAGTCCAATACTTGGTAGAAGGAATGAAGCTACCCTACAAAAATTACCGCGTGTAAATCGGTCAAGTGGTTGCTGAGATATAAGCCTCGCAAAAGCGTCCGCACGGCCGGCCGGCCGGCCGGCCGGCCGCTCATACTCAGAAATTTCCGTTAATCTAAGGAAAGACTACGCTCGCTTCGCTCGCTCCGTAATTATAGTTCTTTTTTTTCAAAAGGACGCTGGCTCAAAGTTCAATATCGAAGCTCTCACGTGAGTTTTGGCAGCTTCAGTGTCTGGCCAAGAATTTCTTACCGAAAAAACAATCGATTTCAAATTGTGTATGGTAAGTAGCTGGAAATTGTTTCTTAAAAATGAGCATACTATGATGACGTCACTGGTGGCAGCAGGCACCCAAATGTCCGTGCAATGGGACAAGTGTCAACGAATTTGGGTGAAACTTAGTTTTTCACTGTTGCCGAGCTTATGATCGAGTAAGACACTTTGGCCGGTGCGGCGCGCTAGACGGGCGACCCCCGGCCGCTCCTGCAGTTTTCTAGCTCTTCACCGGTAAATTGTCAGTTATCATCTAAAAGCAGCGTGTCTACTGTTTCTCCAGTGTCAAGTGCATCGTTTGCTCCAAGAAAAATACCCGTGAGTGCTGTATCTGACTCAGTTTTCTTCAATTACTTTTTCAAGCATCTCTAGCGTCCGCCCTTGTGCATCGGTCAAGTAATATCGCCTGAGATCAGTTGGAGCACGCCAAGGCCCCACGAAGTCTTAAAAGTTGACCCGTTTGTGTCTGCTACCTTGGAAGTGACTTTTGCGTGCAAAAAACTCACTGGTACACGGAAGTTCTGCCCAATTTTTCGAGCACTACTTTTCTGCCCACCAATACTGAAACAGTCAAGCGGAGGATCACCATTCAGCCGGCCCGTTACCATGACTACCACACTTGAGGGGATGGCCACCCCTACGCAGCCCGGCTAAAGTCAACATGCCGGGCGGTGAAACGGCCGCCGGGGCACGTACCCGACGGCCGGCGCGGAGGGCGCGCCGCGGCGGGTGGCGAGCCCGCCGCGCGCGTGAGAGAGGGGGTGGCGACCAGCTGTCTGTCCCCGGCATTGGGGCCCCGAACGGGTCCCGTCGTGTAGAATGCCAACCGGCCCCACCACCACAACCACCAGCGAAACATGGGATCACAGCGCAGCCGTACGAGAGTCTTGTCATTAACCCCAACGCCGCCGAGAGCACCGACAGCACCACTTCTCCCTCAATCAAAACTGTGTCAGCTGAGCCGGCACTCTACGGACCTGAGCAAAGTGAAAAGCCAGCCGACAACACGTACCACCGGGCTTACCTTCTAGCGGTGCGTGAGAGGATGAGGGGTGGTGCGAATAGCAAAATCGCCCAGGCCATCCGAAGCAGTCTCCCCGCGCGCCTGTCACATTTGGTCCGCCGCTCACATCAGCCAATCCGTGCCATTTGTGGATCTAACCGGCGGCCCCGTCCCATCGCCAATAGAGATGCAGGATACCAACAGCGAACGATCACGGTCCCAGCCCGACTCAGCATCGCGGAGACTCGCAGGGTACTGGGATCAGGGAAACAACTAGCACCAGCCATCTTCTTGACCAACCCCACGTCACTCAACAATAAATTGGACGAGCTATACGCAAACATACTGGAATATGCCCCTGACGTTGTCTGCATCTCCGAAGTCTGGCAGGTCGATCAGGACAAGGCAAATTTCCCCGGCTTCAGCTTCTTTCAGCGACCCAGACTGCATCGTCGGGGAGGTGGCGTCGGCTGCTACGTCAGACAGTCTATTCCAGTTAAGCCACTGAATAGCCTCCAACCCTCTGAGGAAGACGTTGAAGTGATATGGCTTCAATTACGGCCTAAACATCTTCCGCCAGGTTCATCTAATATCTGCATCGCCACAGTCTACTTCCCACCAGGCTCGTGTGCAGAGCTGCGAGTGAAATATGAGGAGCACCTTCAGTTCGCCATTGATGAGCTCCGTACCCTGTACGACTACCCTCGATTTATCATCTGCGGTGATTTCAACAGCTTTCCAGTTGAGCCCCTCTGCCGGCTCAATGGTTTGCATCAAATTGTAACAGCCCCCACGCACGGTGACTCAGTTCTGGACCTCATCCTGACCGACCTGGGTGATTATTATCACGAGCCTGTAATGCTGTCGCCCCTCGGGCGCTCCAAGCACGTCATCGTGCACGCTCGACCGCGCATCATCCAGCCGACACCGAGGGAACGAACGACCGTGCGAATGCTGCCGGACTCGGGAGTTAGAGCATTCGGCAGGTGGATCACAGCACATGACTGGACCCCCGTATATGAGGCGTCTTCTCCCGATGAACAGGTGGCGGTGCTGCAGTCAACGCTCTCCACTGCTCTGGACCGGTTTCTGCCTACCAAAACTTTGCCCGTGCGACATCGAGGGAAGCCTCACATCACCGCCACCGTACGACACGCCATTGCCCAGAAGCACAGAGTTTTCCGACTCGAGGGCATGTCCGACCGGTGGCGACATCTACGAAATAAGGCCACTCATCTGTGCCGCAAAGCCAAAGCGGAATTCTACGACAGGAAAATACGAGGAATGAGGACAGCAAAGCCGGCTACCTGGTACCGTCAAATCAAGAGTCTGACCGGCCGAGTAAAGAACGAACAGCTAAACTTCGCTGAGTACGAGACTGGTGGGGCGCTGGCGGAAGCGGTCAACCAGCACTTCGCATCTATCTCATCCCAGCTGCCGGCACTCAACCTGGAGGAATTCCCTGCCTACCTACCGGCGG